TAAAGGTTTCAGGAAAGCTGGGTCCTGGTCCCTGAAATCCACCCTCCTATCCTCACAGAGGCCTTTAAAAAGATAATGACTAACATGGTAACAGGAGACCTGCATTAGGAGGAACATTAGGAGGAACTTCCTGACAGTAAGGGCGGTTCGACAGTGGAACACACTCCCTCGGAGAGTAGTGGAGTCTCCTTCCCTGGAGGTCTTTAAGCAGAGGCTGGATGGCCATCTGTCGGGGATGCTTTGATTGGGAGTTCCTGCATGGCAGGGGATTGGACTGGATGGCCCTTGTGGTCTCTTCCAACTCTATGATTCTATGACTCTCAAAGGTCTCTGACCAGACACCCTTTTTCACCACCACACTCAACCTCTCTCTCATGGTGACATGCTGAAGGACCCAAGGGCTGCAAAAAACAGTCTTAAGGCTGGATTTGGCCCTTGGGCCAGATATGGTCTACCTGGCTTGAGAGGCTGTAGAGAGTGTGTGTGTGTGTGAGAGTGTGTGTGTGTCTCAGCATTGGCTATATCAGCTAGGGAATGTTGGGACTTGTAATCCAACAATAGTTGGAGAACCATATGTTGCAATAAAGCCTGTAGCTTCAGTCTCCACCCAAAATGATATCCATGTCTTTTTTCAACACTTCCAGTTAAAGTGACTGCAAATTTGCAACCACTAGAACTTCATCTTTAACAGGAGCAATGGTGTCATTGCCATCCATATTCTTCCTCTCCAAGCGCCTCACGATATCTCAGTTTGTATTTTCAGGACCACATTCTCCACTGCCACCTCTCTCCTTGCATCACAACATTTAGCTTATGTGTGTGCTAAGCAATCCAGGTTTAAAAAACTTACTTCTCCCATCTTCCACTGACCCTGGGGTCGTCAAATTTGAGCAAATTCAGACCCAGAGCTAGGGGATAGTTCAAGGTGGGGGCCAACATAACCTGAATGTTCTATCAATGGCTCCACATGCCCAAGAGAACCATCAATGTCTGGTGCTGAACTGGAGCCCTAGTATGTTACTATCATCTATTTGAACAAAGTTAATGGGAGTGTCCAATGCCTCAGATTGCAAGCCCAAACCCGTAGCCACAGCGGGGTTTATCAGGCATCTAGTACAACCCAAGTACAAAATTGCCACCACATCCATGCTTCCCCCCTAGGGTTTCTCAATTTAACTTGCACAAAAAAGTGAGTAGCTCCACTACTCACTTTGAGCTTGTGGCACCTAAGTTCCTTAGTGTGCCCTTCAGCACTTTCTAAGGAAAACTATCATCATTTCTTGCCAGCTGTGCATTGCTTGTAAAGCCCTACATTGGGTCCTCATTGTCAAATTGTTCACTGAGGCATGTTATTGCTACCAGTGCTCATGCTGTCGCCAAGCCACTGCTGCTCTCTTAGTCATGCCTGATGCAGTTGCTGCTCCTCTTCCCTGCTCTGCCCTCACAGGTGCCGTCTGGACATCTTGGGCAATGTGCCCCTCCTTGCCACAATGCAAGCACACTCCCAAGCACAGGTGATGCTCTCTCTACAACTCAATGGCGATCCTTTTAGATTCTCTGGAAAGTGCGCCCTAAAAGCGGCGGGCGCACTTTCTGGGGCTCAAACGCCGCAGCGCGTTCGGCTGCCGCGGCGTGAGGGCAACCCACAGTCGCCGGCCGTGCGGACGGCCGGCGCTTCCGGGTGCGCCCTCAGGAAGAGGAAGGGCCGCCGAACGTGCGGCGGCTCCTCCTCTTCCGGGCCTCGGAGACGGCCCAATTACCCGTCTGCCGAGGCCCTATGATTCCCTAGCACTGAGTCAGGGCAGTTAAAGTGGACTCAATTTGCACTATTTCTGGCAGTCTGCAAAGGCCCTTAGTTCAGAAATCTAAGCCTGGGTGCAAACTTGGGGATTTTGACTGACATGAGAGTTTATTCATACAACTAAAGCTATTTACAGCATGACAATATTAATAAGACTAAAGCAATTTTTGTACACAGTATATTAAAAAGCACAGAGCAATACAAACCCTTTTGCACACTCCAACCCCATTTGTACACACTTGAAAACATCCCTCTTCTCAAGACTGTCCCACTGTGTCTGTCTGTACCAGGCATTTCTCATAGAACTGACCTCCTTACCCAACTTCAGGAAGACAAACATTGCTTCCACCCAGCATTATTAGAGATGTGGGTGCCTGTCTCATTCCCCTCCAACAGCCTCCCCTGCCAAGCTTCTAGACTGGTGTTGGAGAATCCCAAGATGGTGACTTCCAGGACTTGAGCACGTTGGTTGGGCAAATTCAGACCTTCATTCCCATTGTGACCATCATGAGACTATCTCAGTTCATCACCAACTCAAGGCATGTGAAGCAGAAGCTGAGAAATCTCCAAACTCTCATGTCAGTCAAAATCCCCAAGTGGCCATGCAAGCTGGAAAGTTTTTGGAAAAGGTGACTTATCCAAACCTAGGTTGCAGGTATCTCTCTCAGTCTGTCCTTTGCTCTAGAACAGATTAGGGTCTCTTTCACACCACACAATCATAACACTTTGATCCCCCTTGGACTGCCATGGCTCCATACTACGGAATCCTAAATTCTTTAGTTTTGCAGTGCCTCCTCAAATACAAATCCCAAGATTTCATAGGAGGCAGGCATGGCAATTAAAATAGTATTAAACTGCCATAATAGTCCAATGTGAAAGAGGCCTGGAAGTGATCCAGTGTTGAGAGGGCTGAATATGATCTTGTTACAGATAACACCCTTGATAGTGAAGTTTGAATTGATTTTGCCTATATTCCAACAAAATATTTTGCCTATATTCCAAATAAATTGAAGGTGAAACAATGGGGAGGGGGCAACCATGAAAGAAAGTGTTCCTGCCTCTTGCTTAGGAGCTGCATCGATTGAATTTCAGCCTGCTAGAGGCTCTGCTAAATCAGAAAAAAAGTGGTAATTGTGACTCCCTGAGGATTCATCTATCTATGTAGAGTGCTTAATTTTCTGATATCTCACAGCTGGATAGATGAGTTGCTTTGTGAAGGTGCTTTCCATTTGAGCTGATGTGAGAAGATGCACATGTTCTATCCCTTTAGTGTTATGTGATCATTCATCTGTACATCCAAGTCAACATTTGAGGTGACATTCACCAAGAACTAATGTCTTTAACCACATATATCCAGCAACCCTAAGGGGGAGTTTTTCTGGCATTAATCCTATAAACCTTGTCTTTTATTTTTGTCTGGCTGTATGTCTCAAAAATTTTAGAAACTTTTTTTTACCATTAAGATTCCTCCTCAGTCATAACAGTCTGCAGAAAAAGATGAACAGCTGTTCAAAAAGACAGCAGCTGAAGAATTTCAAAACACTTCTTGCTGCCTGTTTAGAGATTATTTTTGCAGCTTTTTGCATTTTCCAAAAAGAACCAAAAAGTTGGTAAAGAGAACTGTCTCATCTGTGTATATTAAAATATGTCTAAATGATATTTTAATGTAGATATCAAATATCTATGATAATAAACGATAATGTAACTCTGAGTGCCATAGACACGTGAAATATGGCTTCCTTGCTATGCGTCCCTAGGACTGTTTACCTGGGAGTTATTTGGCCTGTAAAATACATTAGTCAGTTTTAATTAAAGCACTGACTTTCATTCATTTTTATGTGTCAATTTATCTGAAGCCTTCAGTACCATCTTCAGTCACTGGGTGGCAGATTTCTCTAACCAGCACATAGTTTTGCAGCCAGCTAGGGTGGAATAGCTCAAAGAACAAGGTTGTGTGGGTGATTTCTCTCCATTGTTATTGGGGCAGCACCCTTGTTATGTGCACAGAGTGGGAAGATGTTTCCCTGAAGAGGCTAGAAAGGTGAATAATTGCAGGACCTTAGATGGAGTGACCACAGTATGTCCCATTCTGACAAGTGTTTGGTTTTTCTGAAAAGTTTCAATGTATTAAATTAAAGGTTAGTTTGACACTTGCAAAGCCAGGTGGTCTCCTGGTGTGTCTGTAGAGTGGAATGAGTCTCAAACAACAGCAAATTCTGTTCTTGCTTAATTGCAAGAAAAGTGAAGAAAATGTATGTTCAGGAAAGTGCAAACCTTGAGTAAACCTTATCACAAATCATGAGTTAGTCAGTTACTGTAATGGAGACAAAACTCTGTAAAAACTCATAGAAGAGTCTGGTATTATTTTTGTATGCCTTGTAAATTGACTCCAGCCACTTTAAGTCCCTCACCTCCACCACAGCTGCTCCTCTTTTTTGCTCAAAGGTTCCAACAAGATGTTTACAGAGCAGGTAACTAAGTTATTAAATTTGGCGATTTTACTAGATCAATGTTAACTATATTTAATGCATAAATGAATTTTTACCTATTTAAATATTTAGATCTTTTATTGTGTATTCTAGAGAGCCTGTGTGGCATAGTGGTTTAGATATTGGACTATGACTTTGGAGACTAGAGTTTGTTTCCCTGGTCACCGTGAAACCATGAAACCTACTGAGTGATCTTGAGTAAGTGACATGCTCTCAGTCTCAGGAAAACGCAAACCTCCTCTGAACAAAGCTTGCCAAGAAAACCCCATGATAAGTCTTTAGATATGAAACATCCACATATGTGTTTTGCTGGAGGTTTTTAAACAGAAATTAGATGGCCATCTCAGGGGTGCATTTGCTGTGGATTCCAGGCAGAGGTTGGTTGGATTGGATTAACCTTGGACCATAGAATCATAGAGTTGGAAGAGACCTCAAGGGCCATTCAGTCCAACCCCCTGCCATGCAGAAAATCACAATCAAAGCATACCTAATAGATGGCCATGCAGCCTCTGTTTAAAAACCTCCAAAGAAGGATAATCAACCACACCCCAAGGGAGAGTGTTAACTGTTGGACAGCTCTTACTGTCAGAAAGGTCTTCCTAATGTTTAGGTGGAATCTCTTTTCCTCTAGTTTGAATCCATTGCTATGGGTCCTCTGAGATGGAGAGAGAGAGAGACAGACTTGCCCATGATTACCCACTCGGTTTCTATGGCTGAGCAGAGATTTGAACACTGGTCTTTCAGAGTCTTAGCCTAATATTCAAACCATTACTCCACACAGCCTTCTCTAGGGTTTTCTCTGTCAAATTTATTCAGAGGAAGATACCCATTGCCTTCCTCCAAGGCTGAAAGTATGGGACCTCTGGGTCCTATTTTCTGGAGCAGCAGAAAACAAGCATGCTCCTTTTTCCATATGACATCCTTTCAAATATTTAAGCATGGGTATCATATCAACTCTTAACCATCTCTTATCCAGGCTAAAAATACACAGCTCCCTAAGTCTCTCCTCATAAAACATGGTTTCCAGACCCTTCACCATTTTGCTCACCCTCTTCTGGACACAGCTTGTCAAAATCTTTTTTGAATTGTGGTCCCCAGACCTGGACGCAGTATTCCAGGTGAGGCCTGAACAAAGCAGAATACAGTGGGGCTGTTCTAGACTTCTATTAATGCAGCCTAGAACGTCATTAGCTTTTCTAGCTGCCAAATCACACTGAATCCATGTTCAGTTTCTGGTCTACTAAGGCTTCTAGGTCCCTCCTGCATGTACTGCTATCAAGTCATGTGACACCATCCTATATCTGTGCATTTCAGAAGACGGTGAACAAAATGATGAAAGGTCTGGAAACGAAGTCATATGAGGAGCAGCTTAGGGAGTGGAGTATATTTAGCCTGGAGAAGAGAAGGTTAAGAGGTGACATGTCAGCTATGTTTAAATATTTGAAGGGATATGAAGGATGGAGCCAGCTTGCTTTCTGCTGTTCCAGAGACTAGGACATGGAGGAATGGGTTCAAGCTACAGGAGAAGAGATTCCGCATTAGGAAGGACTTCCTGACAGTAAGAGCTGTTGGACAGTGGAATGCACTGCCTCGGAGTATGGTGGAGTCTTCATTGGAAGTTTTTAAACAGAGGCTAGATGGGCATCTGTTGGGAGTGTATTTGTGATTGAGTGGCAAGGGGCTGGACTGGATGGCTTTTGGGAGTCTCTTGACTCTATGATTCTATGATGTTCAGTCATAAACCTAAGGGGAAGCTATCATAAGGCAAGATTTCTTCAGAAGAGAAATCTGAGAGTGTGACACTCAAGGCCACCCAGTGAATTTCAATGGCTGAGTGGGAATTTGAATCCTGGACTCCTAGAATCCTAATCCAACAGTCTAACTCAGGGGTAGGCAACCTTTCCTCTTTAAGGGCCGAGGGACTTCAGCTCCCAGAAGCCTCAGCCATGTTGGCCAATAGTCCCATGTTGGCCAATAGTTCCTGGGATTCTGGGAGCTGAAGTCCCTTGGCCCTTAAAAGGGAAAGGTTGCCTACCCCTGGTATAACTACTATATCACACTAGTTCCAGCTTTAGACATATTTAAAACAGGCCAATAGAAATCTCTGTGACTGAAGGTGAACATAAGTCCCATTGCTTTCAAAGGAACCGCACTTTAAGTATGACTAAAACCTAATGGACCATTAGGTTGGATTTAGACTTGATTAGGGCAAGCTCACTGAAATCAACAAGGCTTTTGAAAGTCATGGTGATTAACATGTACCATTGATTTCAATGGATATCCTCTTTGAATGAGTAAATCTTAATCCAGTCTAGTTGTGTGTTTTTTAAAAAAACAAAAAACAAACAGCTGCTCCTTGATTAATTATAGTACAATTTCACTGATAAATTTGACTTATTTTATTAATTAAGCAATTGAACATCAGTGTGGACATTAATAGAATAGCTAGTCCCCTTGTCTGACATGGTGGCTCAGTGGTAGAATCTCTGCTTTGCATTCTGAAAGGTCAAAAATTCACCATCACCCCAGCATGTCCAGGGAGGGCAGTGGAAAACAAAAACCCTCTGAGATACTGGAGAGGAGCCACATGCAAGTAGATAACAGACAGCGAGAGGAACTGGCACCCCAGCATAGATGTATAAGGGCCTTTCTCTGTTCATACCGTGTACATACAAAGCTATGACAGGAACAAGTTTAAACTCCTCTAACTTTGGCTTCTGAATTTGGACAGAAGCCTCACATCAGAGCCTGGCAAGGTCTGCTTATGAACAGATGGAAATCCTGTATAAAGCTAGTGATTCACTGCATTAAAAAGGAAGATGGGGAGGGTGGAGCAAACAATGACAAATCTATTAGTCAATGTGTAAGGAAGGAGGGGAGAGGTCAGTCATGGCTGCAGCTCCCAGCAAAGCAGTGAATTCACTCTTAATGGAAGGTTTAAAGGAGCACAGCAGGTTGCTGAACCTAAATGGGCCCAGCACTGGGAGAGCACCTTTGAAGTTACCCAAAACTGGGAGTGGATTCATCACCCCAGTGACATGGGAGCCACTGGCCACCACTGGAGTGGAAGGGCTTCAGCTTCAGGTTCAAGCAAAAGAAGCATTTGCTAAATATCCATTTTTTGTGCCAATCACATAAGACAAAGGAGCCCTGGCTTCACCCATAGTGGATGCACTTGACACGCTCTGCATCCTCAGCATTTCCATCACCCAGTCTGAGATGGCCCATTGGCAATGCAGCCTCAAGTGGGCTCCCAGCTGCCCCAGAGGGCCCTCAGTGGTGGCAAAAGCAGATGAGTGCCAACACAGTGCCCTGTGGTGCCCCTGGGTAACACTGTTACAGATCCTGGTGAATTTGTAGGAAACACCTGGATTTCTCAATGCTTCTATACTGGAGGCATTGTTGGGAATTTAAATGGA